CTTATTATCAGCTACAGTCATAGCAGTGTGCTGATCACAGCTGTAATTTTCTTTTTATTCTACACCCTACTAAAACCTGTGATTCATGAGAGCAGAGACTTTTGTCTGATTTGTTCATTGCTCTATCACCAGCTCCAAGCAGGTGCCTACTGCACCGTACGTAGGCACTCAAAACATTTTGAAAGGGAAGGAGGAATATGTGAACACACAAATACAAGAGTATAAGTGAGCTGACTGTGGTCATAGCAAATATGAGCATACAAGAGAGGCAAAGTGGCAGAGAGAAACAAGGAACCCAGAAAAGAAAGCTGGTAGTGATGAGAACCAACTGGCGAATGGCTTCAGTGCAGGCAGTCACAGCTCTGACCATGGACCAAAGTAACTTCAACCTTAACCAGGATTACATATCCTGAGCACGGAGCCCCAAGCCAACTTAGGTAGAAGACCTCATTCTAAACGGTGCCTTGCTGCAGACCATGAACAAGGCCATCGATCCTGCTTTGAGGGTTTACCACAAAATAATGAATTACTGATCGTCCCTGTTCCCAATCAGCTCTCTCCTGAAATTAAATTCTGTAATTCAATGTGACTATCAGCTCAGGAGGCTGAAAAGAGTCTCCCTTATCTGTCCAGAACAGATTTTATTTATGCTTCAGTCTCTACAAAGGTCTTGCACTGCTATCTGATCATCAATTCTTTCTGTAATAGTCAATGAAGCAAATTAAAAATTCAATCCCTCTCCCTTACAGTCTTTACTGTCCAAAACCCAATCTGAGTGTGAACAGACCACCTTCACTATTAGCATATCTAACAGGGATCACAGCATAAAAGACGGAGGTCTGAAAACAAAACTAAACAAAAATGAACCTTTGTTCCCATTCCAAAGAAAGAAAAAATCATCAAACATATCAAGTAGATCTCATGCTTTTCTAGTTTCCATTTCTTTTTTGGCTTTTAAGCAGTGTTCCAAGAGGCCCTTGCTCTCATTTTATTTACTTTTTATTGTTTTAATATTTTTAGAGATGATGTCTCACTATGTTGCCAAGCTGGACTTGAACTCCTGGGCTTATGCAATCTTCCCACCTCAACCTCCTCAGTAGCTGGCACTACTGGTGCGTGCCATTGTGCCCAGCTTCTAGTTTCCATTTCTAATGTCATTTGTAGGCCCCTGCCTTGGGAAGGGCTGCCTGCAGTATAGGAGAGAGACCTGACTCCGCAGTAGGAAACGCAGGCTTTGGATTCAGGCTTGTTTGTAGGAGTCAATCACACTTTAATATTCTAAAGGAAATGATTTATAAAATACAAATATTGCACTAATAGAAAATAATTTTTTTATTTTGCAATTGCTTTGTATTCATGGATATTAACTATTTATACCATACACTCATTATTATAATTATAGCATTATTTCTAACTCTAAATGCTTCTTTGCAAACCAATTGTTTCTTTAACGCATCCCTACTGACCTACACACTTACTTTTGCGTGCTCCAAGCTATACATTTCCCTTTTTTTTTTCACTTTATTATCTGTAGAGATGAGGTCTCTCTATGTTGCCCAGGCTGGCCTCGAACTCCTAGGCTCAGGCAATCCTCCCGCTTCAGCCTCCCAAAGTGCTGGGATTACAGGCATCAGGCACCATGCCTGGCCCCAAGTCAACAGATCATTCTTTTATAATGATCTATTATAGCTACCAAATCTTGTAAACAACCTATGTGCATATACATATCTGTGCATCACTGTATGTGTGTGCCTATGGATGGATGCGTATCTATGTGTGTGCATATACATGTCTGTGTATCTCTCTATGTGTGTGCCTATGGATGGATGCATATATACGTGTGTGCATATACACAAATGTGCATCTGTGGTTGTGTATACAGTCATCCCTCAGTATTCACAGGAGACTGGTTCCAGGAAACCCCACAGATACCAAAATCTGAAGATTATCTAGTCCCTTATATAGGCTGAGCACAGTTGCTGAAGCCTGTAATTGCAGCACTTTGGGAGGCAAAGTGGGCGGATCACTTAAGGTCAGGAGTTTGAGACTATCCTGGCCAACATGGTGAAACCCAGACTCCACTAAAAATACAAAAGATAATAGCGCATGGTGGGTCATGCCTGTAGTCCCAGCTACTCAGGAAGCTGAGGCAGGAGAATCACTTGACCCTGGCAGACAGAGGTTGCAACAAGCCAAGATCAAGCCACTGTAATCCAACCTGGATGACAGAATAAGACTCCATCTCAAAAAAATAAAAAATAAAAATTTTTACGTTCTCTATATGAGATGGAGTAGTATTTGGATATAACCTATGCACATCCTCTGATATACTTTAAATCATCTCTGGATTATTTATAATACCTAATAGAAGGTAAGTGCCATGGAAATTATTATTACACTGTATTGGTTTTTTATTTGTATTATTTTTATTGTCACATTATTATTGTTTATTTTTTATGTTTTTCAAATATTTTTGATCCATGGTGGTTGAATTGGCAGATGTGGAATCCACAGATAGAGACGGCTCACTGCACTCAAGTAAGTGCTCCCATGGATGCATGCCTCTGTGTATGATGGATGGACGAATGTGTCCATGTGCATCGATGCATCTCGACAATATATTCTACAAAATATGATCAGATGCACGAAACCTAAAACAAGTCCAAACCAAATGTTTCAGAGGGCCATAATTTTCTTCCAGAGATCTGTGTGATTCCAGCTGGCTGTAACACTTACTGAAACCAGATCTGTCCCTGGACTTTCAACTGCATAAGACTCTCGCTTATCACCTTTGCCAGCTGGTTTTTTGGTTGTTTCCCGTAAGCAAGTTGGAGTTGGGTTTCCACACTTACAAACTAATTCCTCCTGACTATTTACCAGGAATTTAATAGTTACTGAATTTATTCAGTAAACATTTATGGCGTACCTACTATGAACCAGGTACTGAAATAAGAGATTGTGATGCAACAGTAAGCAAAACACACAAAGTTCCCTGCGTTCATTGTGCCTACATTCCAGCAGGAGAGACAGGTAATAAATAGGTGTTATAGTCTATATGAGAAAGTGGGCCAGGCACGGTGGCTTACGCCTGTAATCTCAGCACTTTGGGAGGCTGAGGCTGGCAAATCACCTGAGGTCAGGAGTTCAAGACCAGACTGACCAACATGGTGAAACCCCGTCTGTACTAAAAATAAGAAAATTAGTCTGGCATGGTGTTGGGTGCCTGTAATCTCAGCTACGTGGGAGGCTGAGGCAGAAGAATCCTTTGAACCTGGGAGGCAAAGGTTGCAGTGAGCTGAGATTATGCCATTGCACTCCAGCTTGAGCAACAAGAGCAAAACTCCGTCTCAAAAAAAAAAAAAAAACGAGAGTGATATATTCTATGGGGGAAAAGAAAGCAGGGCACAGGCATGTGGAGCATTAGGGGCACGGGAGAGGAGAAGAGGGGGTTGCAGTTTTACAAGAGCGGAAGTTAGACTGAGAAGGTGATGAGTAAACAAAGAGGCAAAGCAGGTGGGGGAGGGAGTCCAGGTGAGGGCGTGGCCAGTGCAAAAGCCAAGGCACAGGGATGCCTGGGAAGTTCTGGAAGTGGTGGGAGCACGGGGGAGAGGAGGGGAAGCCAAGATCAGAGAATTAAGGGGCAGACATGGCAGATTTTGTCTGTGTTTAAGTCTTGGCTTCTGCTCTGAGGGAAATGAGTGCCACTGCAGGACTGTGAGCAGAGATGAGACATAAAATGGCCCTCCCCAAATATGGTCCCCGTTGTAGGGGCCTGGGGTGAAGCGGGGAGGCCAGTGACGCAGCTTCTGCAATAACCTAGGTAAGAGAGGCTAGGGGTTGGGCCATGCTAGTAGCAGTGAAGGTGGAGAAATGAGGTCAGATTCGGGATCTGTTGAAGTTTGAGCCCGAGTGTCCTTCTGATAAATAGATGTGGGAAAGAATAAAGTTAAGGATGATGCCCAGGCGTGGGCCTGATGGGCAGGAAGGAGGAAACTGCCTCATCAGAAGAGGGAAGCCACACTCAAGAGTTTACTGCCATTGAAATCTACTTACTGCTAAAATCTCAAACCTTGAAATTCCCTCTGGGATTTGCTTTTCCCCTCCTACTCCCTCTCACCATCTGTCTCCAGCTCCACCTCTCCCTTACTCATCTTTGGCTGGCTCACTTTCTCCCCCCATGTGATACACACATCTCAACACTCACGTTTACCTAGATCCCTTCTCTCGGCTCCCCTCGTCTTCTCTCTCTGTGTGTTCCTTCCTCCCCAGCAGCTTTCATTCTGACCTCCCTACTGAAGACTCCCACCCCTGCACTCAACTTCTAGCCCTGGCCTCCCCCTGAATTGGGGTTCTGCACTTTTAACCGCCTGCTGAATGCCAAAAACACATCCAAACGCAATGCAGCCGTTCTTTTCAGAAAAGAGCCTTTCTTTCTAACGTGGTATATTCCCATTGATGAGAGCTCCCCACCTGAAACCCTGATGTCTGTCACTCTTGATTCTGCCACCTCGTTTCTCAGTGCTTCCCTCACACACGAGCACGTCTAGAGTCGATCTTGACAGTGGTCCTGACACCCATAGGCCTGCTTTGGCTCCCACTTCCCACCCGATTCTGGCGCTTCATTTCACCAAAAGCTACTCCATAACACTCCCCATGTTATATCTTCACCACAGCCACCACCAGCACCCCCTGCCCTGCTTAAAACCCTGTATCACCACTGCCTACAAGCTAAATACAGATCTCAACACAGCACACACACCCCCTTTGCAGTCTGGCTGTTACATCCTATACTCTTGTTAATTTTCCATAACTTTCCACTGCCCTAGCCAAATTGTCCTATTATTTCTGAACAGAGCATTCTCCTTCCCGTGTTGTTGCTCACACCGTTCTCCTTTACCCCGAATGCCTTTCCCTCTCATACCTCCTCTTCAGTTCAAGGTCAAGTTCAAGATACGCCTCGAGTCTAAAGCCTTCACTTGTCCCTTGGTGACTACTCTTACCTTGCAATGTGAATTCATGTAGACCCTAAATGGACTGTACAGTTCATCTAATATTGAATAGGCGCTCCTTGATCTTCTGATTAATCTCCTGATATGCAACATCATCTCAAAATCATTAACATCTAACAGAGGAACAATTACGTGTTACATGAATGATAGCAACTGCCCCTCACTTCAGCTTGAAAGGCAGAAAGACCAGCTTGCTGGGTCATCTCCCAGTCAAATTCTTTGCAGTGAAGAATCCAAGTAATGAAGGAAATAGAGAGAAGAACCAAAAACAGAGAGGCTAGAGTGATATATAAAGCACAGTGTTAAAGGAACAGGACAAGAAGAGAAAGGAAAGGAAAGCCTCAAAGGCCGAGACAGTGGGAAGCAGACTTTGATAGTGGGAGAGAAAATTTAAGAAAGCAGGTGCCAAACACATGGAGACTATTAAGAGAAGAGGAAGGACAGGATAAGATGGATGCAATTTTTTGCTGCACAACAGGAATGCATTTTTCCCACTCTTATTCATAATCCCTCAAAAAGATGAGTAAAGATACAGTGTTTTAATTTTTTTGAGGGGGGGGGTTGTTTGAATGTGACTTTATGAACAAGACTAGGACATAAGACACCAAGATTTATCTGAGTTACATAATGAGTATAACATGTTTGTTTGGAGGCTAAAATCTCTTAAAGTCAGGGATTGGGACCTGTTATTTCTTGTATTCCCAGTCCTGGGAAGAGTGTCCTACATGTAGTTATTAATCCATAAATGTTAGTTGATGATAAACAAGGACGCAGATAAATGAGCAGATGATGTGGTCCCTGTTTTTTATCATGGAATGTTCCAGAGGCTGTCATCTGTTATTAGCCATGCAGCCAAACAGCATTTGTCATGTATTTATTTAAGGAGATTATCCATTTGTCTACCAAGCAAATATAACTTTTGTAGGTCAAACTCACAATTACGGCATTAAAACAGGACAACCATGTGAGGATTGCTTGTGAAGGATGCACGTGAATACCAAAAATATCATGGCATTCAAAACCCAAATGTCAGAGAGAGCATTTGAGATGAGAAAGCAAGACAGCATTTTCAAAATGCAATCCCAATTATTTATATTCTTCAAAAACTAGCCAATTTTCTTCTGCTGACATGTTTGACTTTGGTCCATTTTCTTGATGCTCTGAGTTTTATACCCAAGACCTTTGTGAGAAACAATTACAACTACCATGATTTCATGTAAAACGTAAATGATCATCTCTAATGCCTCTCTGATGGGTTTTCAAAACATCTGCATTTTCTGAAAAATCCTTCCTTCCATTCTCATGCACTCATTCTGACCTCACAAAAAGTGTATGATAAAAGGTACTTAAATATCTACCTTCAGGAGATTGTAGTGGAAAAGCAAAAGGATCACAGAGAAGGAAATGGAAACGAAATCAGGAATTGCAATATTCTGGAATATGACTGTTCTCTGCATAACATTAAATGAGAGGAATGTCACTAGAACTTGACAATGTGATAGCGTCCATGAAAGACCATGAAAGCAGCAACCACTCGTTTATTTCCTACCCTTCCTGGCCATTCCACATTGACTATGACATGCAAATGCAGTAATACAATGAAACCACTACATTTACCATTATTGTGATGTATAAATGCAATATTATGATGAAACCACTTAAATATCTTCTGCTTAGGGAGATTTGTACTGTCCTTTTTCTGAAAACTGTTAATGATCACTGTTTTTTCCTTGAGGAGATCCCTAAAAGTCTCAGATTCTTAAGGAAGTTGCTAAAAGGTAGACGCAAATTTCAAGTTGAATGCCACCTGAAGGTTGATGGAAGAGGAACAACGCAGAATTCTGAAGATAAACTGGCTGTCCTGAGCAAAAACTGGAAGAAAGTTAAGGACAATGGGATAATGTGTATCAAATGTGCCATTAAAATATACAAAACCTTTGATCCAGCAAATTCCATATCTAGGAATTTAACCCAAATAAATCATCAGAGAAGACACAAAGATGTGGTTATACCAACATTTGAAATTCTGCCCAAAGAAGCAGAAGAAAGGAAGAAAGAAAGGAAGGAACTAATTGTGTAACAATAGCCTGCTGATAATAAATTATAGTACATTGATTCAATTGAACCCTATACCATCATTAAGAAAACTGTTAGAGGCCGGGCGCGGTGGCTCAAGCCTGTGATCCCAGCACTTTGGGAGGCCGAGACAGGCGGATCACGAGGTCAGGAGATCCAGACCATCCTGGCTAACACGGTGAAACCCTGTCTCTAGTAAAAAATACAAAAAACTAGCCGGGCGAGGTGGCGGGCGCCTGTAGTCCCAGCTACTCGGGAGGCTGAGGCAGGAGAAAGGCGTGAACCCGGGAGGCGGAGCTTGCAGTGAGCTGAGATCCGGCCACAGCACTTCAGCCTGGGTGACAGAGCGAGACTCCATCTCAAAAAAAAAAAAAGAAAACTGTTAGAGATTTATATTTATTAACATAAAAGATTGTCAGTGAAACATTAAATGAAAAAAGCAAATAACCAGACAGTAAATGAATGTATTCTTCTTTCCAAAAAAAGTGTATGTCTATATACATGCACCGTTGTTCAAAGAAAAGGAAATATCACAAAATGTAAACACTGGTTGTGAGTAGAGGGGCAGGTTATAGGGGAAGAAACCTGTTTTTCTTATCTTTCTTGTGTATATTACTTTCATAATAAATAGACAATAGAGTCTTTTTCATTCTTCAAAAGAAAATAAATTACCTTGTTGAAAGAAAAGCATATTTCCAGAGGATTATATATTTTGTCCTAAGAAATTCTCTCTCTTTCCTGCTCTCTTACTCTTTCTTCCTCTCTCCAAAGAAAGAGAAGAGATGCTGCAAAGGAGCAGAAATTTGGCTATAAAAAAAGCAATTTAAACAATTACTTTCTTAGTTGAAATTTGCACTGACAGAAGCTAAGAAAAGCGTTTGACAGTAAGCTGGCAAAGCCCTGAGAAAGTTTGTCTCTAAGTTAAAAGAAAAAGGGAAAGTCTTAAAGAAATACTTAATCAAATTCCACAGACAAGATTTCAGTTAAAATTCATTAGTATTAAGAGATAAAGTATTTCTTTCTAGAATTAAGAAGAAATGCTTTAAAACGTAAAAATAACTTATTATTTCATTTTCATAAATTAACCTGTAAATAAACTGCACTCGCTTTATTTTTTTTAAATAGAGGGTTGATGGGGAGAGAGAGAAAATGAGGCAGAGTGGGGAAGGAGAGAAAGGGAGAATTTATGGTTTTCAAGACATATCTTCAGTTTGCTTCTCAAAACCAGGCAATCCCCCACATACTGGATCAGGCCCAAACTAGAATATCTGCAACTGCTCTGTTCTATTAAATTTTGAAACTGATGCTCAAAAACTGCAGAAGCATCTTAGTAACTCACGACAGTGCCCTTCCACATGGACTCAGACTGGCTTTACTGTACCGCGGGTTATCCTTTACTTCTTGATAAATTCCTAGAATTTGCATAATGTTTAGTGCTCAAAAAATTTGGCTGAGAGCATTGTGAAAGTCTCCTGAAGGGCCGGGCGCAGTGGCTCAAGCCTGTAATCCCAGCACTTTGGGAGGTCGAGACGGGTGGATCACGAGGTCAGGAGATCGAGACCATCTGGCTAACACAGTGAAATCCCGTCTCTACTAAAAAAAAAATACAAAAAGAAAAACTAGCCGGGCGAGGTGGCGGGCGCCTGTAGTCCCAGCTACTCGGGAGGCTGAGGCAGGAGAATGGCGTAAACCCAGAAGGCGGAGCTTGCAGTGAGCTGAGATCCGGCCACTGCACTCCAGCCTGGGCGACAGAGCGAGACTCCATCTCAACAAAAAAAAAAAAAAAAAAAAAAGTCTCCTGAGGAACTACCAGGTCCGTTGGAGGAACCAGGGATCTTCCTTTCCAACCGGACAGCCTTGGTAGGAAGAGAAACATCTTATCCATCTGTGATCACCTGCTCCAACACCACCGCAGCCTGGGAAGCCCATTCCAGTGGGGCCACTGGACCTTAGACTGCCAGCTCCAGGGACAGACGTGTCCAGAATGGAACGCTCAGGGTAACACCACAATCAATAGGTACCAATAAGTAAATCATGCTGACCATGACAATATTTAGGAGTAGGGCATATAGAAATAGGGCATGGAGTTCAGGCCAACTAACTGTTTTAAATCCTAAAATCCATTAAATAATAAATGAAGATCAAAAATAATCATCGTGATTGCTAAGAATATTAATATGAGGTCTCGATTTAAGTAAAACTCAAATTTCATAGAAATCTTTGAACGAAGCAAATGTGAGCTATCAGAATTTGATGTAAATTATGCCATTCAGGGAAGCTTTATATTTCCTCTGCTTCTGTTCTTTTCGAACTATTGCTTTGACCATTCCTATGGGTCTCCCCGCTACACTCCCCACCCCATCATCGCAGGGAGCTCAACAGACCTTACTCAACCATGGTTTTAAAATGACCATGAAAAGGTGAAATATTTGCATTTTTAAAAAATCTTAAGCTTTTAGTGAAAGATGTTAACGATTCTATAGATGGTATCTTTTCTAAACTTTCTTCAACTGTTTTACCCCTGGCCCCCAGAGCAAGGTATCTTAGAGGACAAAATGTAACATTCCCAAAAGAATGATGAAAAGTTTCTCTCTCTCTCTCTTTTTTTTTTTTTTTGGATTTGATCCTCTAAAATACTTTTAATGTAATATGTAATAAAAAGGGGGAATGAGGATTTAAATGTCACAGAGGTGGGTTGTGAAAACCTACAAAGAATTCTTAACGTTGACATTTTGCAGTTGGGAATTTCCTTCACATGGCATTAGGAAATGGCAGAATCACTTTTACATAGGAACAAAATTTAACCAGTCAAGTGACAACCTTGTGGTCATCATGGTTGCAAGAAGCTATGGCGTGGTCCAATCTCTCTAGAAGCTTACAGTTTAATTAAACATATAAAATCATCATGCCAAAAAAAGTTGGTTGGCGGGGAATGGAGAACATTCTGATGCTACTTTGTGTGATACTGGCTGTCAATGTGATTAGCAGAAAGAAATGTGAGACGCATGACTGGTAAAGCAAAGATTTTATAAAAGAAGGGGAAGGGAGTCAGAGTGGGGAGAAACAATGCCAGCTGTACGGAGAAGAACCAGTGGGAAACCCACAGAGCTGAGTTAGGTGAACAGCTAGGAAGGCTGGCCAGCAAGCCAAACCACAGGGTTCAGAGGCAGGAAAGACACAGCCCCAATCTGGGCTGGCCTTGGTATCTAAGAACAGGTCATGGTCCAAGGCAGAACTACTGGGACTATCATGAAATCAGGGTCCAGACCACAGAGAGGGAAACCTGCCACAGATGCAGCAGCTGGTCAGGGTAAGAGTCATGAAGCTGGGACTGTGCGCAGTGGGACTTTATGCATAAGGAAATCAGGTTTTGCTCCAGGAAGCTGGAGGAAGCTTAGTGTCTATGCATTTAGAGGAGAATATTCCAGTTCAATGTACAACCAAGGGACCAGGGACCCCAGGAAACTTGATTTGAATGGTAAGATAAACATGGGAACTTCCTCCACCAATAAAAGCTAATAAAGTACTGCAGACTTGTTTGAGAATTGGCCAGAGACTAGAGGTTTCACGTAACTGGGCAGGTCTGGAGAATACAGGACCTGACATGAGAATGAAACGGGCGGTGATAGAAAATGGGCAGTTCTAGAAGGGTGGATAGGCCGGGTGCCGTGGCTCATGCCTGTAATCCCAGCACTTTGGGAGGCTGAGGCAGGCGGATCATTTGAGGTCAGGACCCCATCTCTACTAAAGATACAAAAATTAGCTGGGCATGGTGGTGGGAGCCTGTAATCCCAGCTACTCAGGAGGCTGAGGCAGGAGAATCACTTGAGCCCTAGAGGCAGAGGCTACAGTGAGCAGAGATCACGCCATTGCTCTCCAGCACGGGCAACAAAGAGAGATGCTGTCTCAAAAGAAAAAAACAAACAAACAAATAAGTGTGGATAAAGCAGATATGCCCTGCCTGAGTTTTCTGATCCAAAGGAGAATATTCCACGGAGAACAACTTGTTAGACTATTCCAGGGTGCCAGTGTGCTAGTAAGAATTTACATTCAGTAAAGATGGATTACAAAAGATGAGTTAATGCATTTTAGAGAATCAACCCACCTTCACTGCATCAGAGCTGGGACACAAAGATCCTGAAAAATACATAATCAATAAAGATACTATCAAGTTAAAAAATATTCCAAAAATTTAAGTGTCCTGCGGACTATCTTATTTCTTTACATCTTAACTTACTCTATAAGATCTGAGAGGCTCATGGAAATACGTAAGATTAAAGAGTGAAATTCAACTTAAGTGAATATTAGAGGCAGAGAAAATCTCACCTAAAGTCAGAGTGTACAGAAAAGAGACACGCAGACCCTCAGCTCTTCACAGTACCAAGAGGTGAATTACTAGTTTGGTTCTGCATCTCCCCATGGGCTTTTCTGACAACAGAAAAACGTATGCTAAGGATCTTTCACTACCTATGGGAGTGCTTTCTTCTGACATGTCCTGGTCGGTCACTCACCCTGTCTCCTCCCATCTCTTCCCTGTAACCCTGAGTCTTCCACAGGGAGCCAGGTCCTGGCTGCTCCACATGGCCAGGAAGCAGTCACAGGAGCTGGCAGTCAGACAGTAACAAGATGGCACAGGAGGGCAGTTAGGGAGTAGCAGGATCTGGCCTTTTAATCTCTGGATTCCTTTTAATTCCTGAGCAGGAAACAAAAGGATTCGTCAAGAAATGGCTGAGACAAAGGAATACACATCTAGAGACTTGATGCCTAAATTGCTAACACAGACACACACAGAAAATTAACACTGGCCACCATTCCTGGCTTCAGGAAGCCCTCCAGCCAAGCTGAGATGTTAGCAACATCTCCCACTCCTACTTTTCTACTGAAACTTTCCCCCCTTTTCAATACTGCCAGCAGCCCTTACCCCAGCTAATATAGTCCCAGTGGTGTCCCCTGCCTTTCAGGAAGATATTCTCCAAAATCACTCTCTGTCGAATTTACAGAATGAGGTACTCCAGCTCCAGTTGCTTTTGAGACTTTCGTTTTAAAGGACAAGGCTTATAGGAATAGTTTACCCAGAAGGGAGGGAAGCAGAGTTCAAGAATAAGAAAACAGAGCTTTACTAAGGAATTCCAAAGGACTACCTGGAAATTCACATCGAAGACTAGAAGATCCCTCTTTTTGCTAAGATAAACAGAGAACTCAAGAAATGTCATCCACACCTTGAGCCCTACCTTTACATAAATGTGTTCATATCCAAGATAAGAGGCAGCTGGGTGGAGGCAGGTGCCATGTTCAAAGGTTCTGTTACATGCTTGTTGAAATGTAACTCTGTTTCCAGTTGTGATGGCCACTAGTCCATTTTTAGCACTGTTATCAAATGATCTTATTAGCACAGACTACTGTGCCATCAAAATGCCACACACACACTGCCCTTTGTACATCCAAGGAGAATACTGGCCTGCCTTCCCTCCCTCTGGCAGAGTTAGCTGCTCCTTCCTCTGAATCCCATGGCCACTTATATACAACCCTGTCTTGGGCACTTGTCTAAGCTTTTGCTGCCGCATTCACTCAGAGACCACACCTAAATCATCTTTGCATGTCCAGACTACCACAGTGCTTGGAAAATGAGAGGCATGCAATGCATCTTTTCTAAACTAATACAGAACTGCATATTTCCCACAGCTCTGCTGCCTACAGATATAAATAAATAATTTAAGTTCCTCAATATGGAGACTTATGAAGCAGGTACATCTGTCAAAGGAAATATGACTGGATGAGCAGAGAATGCTGAAAAACATACATCCTCCCACAGGTAGCTTTAAGTGGTGCTCTACAATTTTTAGGGACTCGGAATCTTTGAGAATCCAACGAGGTTTTGACTCTCTCCTGAAAAGGATGCACAGATATACCGAAGTACATTTTCAGGAGATTCATGAGATATATGAAGTGGACTTTTGACTCCTATGACTACCTCAAAACCAGAGGCCCACTGAGCCCAAATTAGGAACTTTTGCCTAAGAACAATGGTATTCATTGGCTGAGTATTGAGAATTCCATTTTTTTCCCTAAACATAGTATAAACTGTTAGGCTACAAAACACTGTATCTCCAAGGAAGCATCACTGTGCCAGTCAGGACAGAGCATTAGGTAAGTCCATAAGAACGAAAGCTTGGGGGCTGTGAAGGGCCAGAGCACCAGGACAGTCTCACTACTTTGGTAAAAGAAAAGTCTTATTCCTCCTTATACCTCCCAAAGTACCTAGTTCTTCGTGTCTTATTTCTCAAGAGAAAAACAACCAAACAAATAAAGTGAATGCACTGCCGTAGGAACCATTTTCAAAACAAGAATCTTTTCAGGCCAGAAATGTAGACTCAAGGCAACTGAAAGCATTCTCTCTAGAGCTCCCAGGAGTCTCAGAGGAGTCACGGGCAGACTGGGAAATGTTCTAATCCAGTTAAGATGTCGGTTACAAAGACCTGCAAATTGTTGGTTTCCAGGGTTCCATGGTTAATTTCCAGGGTTCCGAGGTCAATCCTGAAGAAGTGACCTCAGCTCCAACAAGGACATTCTTATCAGTCATGGGTTGTACCATTCACACCTTGGAAGTTACAGGAGATCTAAAGTTATGAGAGAAGCATTTTAGGAGGCCATACAGGAAATACCAATGGTCTGGATTAAACAGTAATGTGCACTTATAAGTTAGACATTTTAAAAAATGTATTGAAACTGTAAGAAAGGATGGTACAAATGTGTACCTAATAAAAGCGATTGAAAAAATAGTAGGCTATGGGCAGGAAAACAGAATGAAGGAAAAGAAAAAGGCAAATATAGGAAGCTAGAAAGACCAGTATAAAGGAACAATGGAGAGAGGAATAGACTGGATCAAAACGAAAATAACTTCAAAGAAGAGAGAAGAGGTAAAATATCAGATGGAGGTAACAACACGAACCATAAGAAAGAAAAATGTGCAGGAAAAAAATCGGGGTTTCTCTGAGGCAGGCAGGGAATGTGGATAAAGCAGACAGGCCCTGCCTGAGTTTTCTGATCCAAAGGAGAATATTCCAGGGAGAATAACTGTTAGAATATTCCAGGGTGCCTCTGTGTGTGTAAGAATATAGCAGTTAAAGGAGATCTGAGAATGCACGTTGAATAGAATTTTAACCAGCCATTTTCTTCATAAACTACTCCAGAAGAGGGGGATTTCAGTGAGGCCTTAGAAATGAGTTGGTTTAGAGGTCTGAGGCTCAGAGAGAACGGGGGTGGGAGAGGGTTGCATCCCCAGTGAGGATGGGGCTGGCAGTGAGCTGGAGGGCAGAAGTCCACTGCGCAGAATAGAGGAGAACTATGCCTGAGGGCAGGGGGCAAGATGGGGAAAAGCCTTAAAAGTGGCCCAAAGGGGCTTTCACCAAAGGAAATGGTGACCTTCAGCAGCTTCCTAACACAGAAGCCACACCCCCCAGAGATCTGGTTTGGCCCTCAGCCCTGAAATCGGCCATCACATCTACGCAACTGCCAGTTTAAAAATACATATATATCTCAAACTTAAAACAGGCAAGCCATAGCTGTTTCATGGAAATGTGACTAGAGCAATGAATTTAACTCTTTGAAAATACGAAACATCCAGCAAATGAATCATTCAGGACACTAATGAGCGCCTCCGATGCTCCCCGTGAGACAGACAACGTTAAACAAAGGCTAATTTAGATATGTACCCCAATGCGTGGCATCAAGCAAATAACATATTTGGAAGTAACATATTTAGGGAAAACAGGACAGATAATTAAAGAGGGGACAGAAGAGTCGAAATGTGGTGGCAACACAGGAGGAAAGAAGTTGAGGCACAGAGAGAAGAACAACACACTTGGTAAAAAGTTCTAGCATCTCTTTCTCTCTGCAAAACACTATAAATATTAACAAGGCAGTGGTCATGAAGGAAAACCATAAAGAAATGAACTGTAATAACATGGAAATAAGCCAAATGTAAGTATATTATCTTCATCTGGAATGAGGAACATTAGGCTCTCGTCAATAAACTTTTGAAGAGTATTTGTGTAAATCTGGCGACAGCAACCAAGTTTGTCTCCCAAAGACACAGAAGGGACTCCTCTGCTCTGTTGCATAGAAACAGGAAAATACCTTTGGCCATCAGTTATGTTTATATTTATTTATTTATTTATTATCCAACTGAATTTAACATTTGCGGTCCTTAGTTATGCATGTGCAAACTATCGAGAGCGAAGGGAAAGCAGGAGACAGTCAATTCCTGAAAGTGCCTCAAACTTCTCTCTAAAAAGCAAGCAGGAGGGACAGAAACACAGCAACATAATTCTGAAACTTTACTCTTCCTCTACTGTAGAAGTTTTCTTCCGCCCACCCTAGCATCGGTTTGTTTGTTAAATGAACGCCACTGTACTCTTAAAAATAGCCTGAGCTAAAACGTATTTGGTTCTAGAAAGTCCAGATTGTAAAAGTAAATTGCTTTAATAAGCTCCTTTTTAAAAATAAAACAAAAAGAGCGTTAAACACATGTCAACATAGTGAGCATCAGGCTTCTGCAAAGATTGCAAAAGATACATCTTGTTTCTTAAGGATGAAAAAGTTTTGTAAGAGAAGCAGCTGGCGGTGTGGAGGTGGAGCTGATTTATCATGGTTAGGAACCTGGCCGTCCCTCCCCAGGAAGAGCTCGGGACAGGACTGCTGGCTACCTTTGAAGAGAATAACACCAAAAGATCGTGATCTCCTTACAAAGCCACATAAAAGACCCAGAAAGCCCTAACTAGAAAATTTAGAAAGATATCAAATTTTCAAAATGAAAAAAAAAAATGGTTTATCAAAATAAAGGATGTTACTCAAAATCATTGCCTTCTCCTCATAATCTGAAGTATAATTTGGGGAAAAGAATTCCTTAACATAGTTATTAATATATCAAAGTTTTAAAGATTATTCCCCCAAGGAATAATACATTTCATCTAAGATAATTTTTGCCACAAAATTTTTGGTTAGCAAAATGAGCTCAAAATATATATGAGTTCAAGAGATTTCTTCTATCCCAAAAGAATAAATTTACATTAATACTGGAAAATCCATCTCAATTAATCCCCATCCTCAATCCCAATGTCAGTCTAAGGTCATAGTTATGTTACAACCAAAAGTAGTATAAAATGTGAACTTATACAGATGTTCCTCAGCTTACAATGAGGTCACATCCCAATAAACCTAGTGTAAACTGAAAATACTGTAAGTCAAAAATGCATGTAATAGACTTGACCTACTGAACCTCACAGCTTAGCCTCGCCTAATTTAAACGTGCTCAAAACACTTACATTGACCAGCAGATAGGCAAAATTATCTAACACAAAGCCTATTTTATAATAAACTGTTGAATATCTTATACAACTTACTGAATACTGTACTGAAAGTAAAAAACAGAATAGTTGTACAGGTGCTTGAAATACAGCTTCTACTGAATGTTAAGAGCTTTCAAACCATTGTAAAGTCAAAAAGTCATTAAGTGGAACCAGCGTAGGTCAGAGACTGTATCTCAAATAAGTATCTTCTGGTAACGTTAAGGACATTTTAAAGAGTAGTGATATTTTATATCTTTTTTTTTTTTTTTTTTGAGACGGAGTCTCACTCTGTTGCCCAGGCTGGAGTGCAGTGGCCGGATCTCAGCTCACTGCAAGCCCCGCCTCCCAGGTTTACGCCATTCTCCTGCCTCAGCCTCCCGAGTAGCTGGGACTACAGGCGCCTGCCACCTCGCCCGGCTAGTTTTTTGTATTTTTTAGTAGAGACGGGGTTTCACCGTGTCAGCCAGGATGGTCTCGATCTCCTGACCTCATGATCTGCCTGTCTCGACCTCCCAAAGTGCTGGGATTACAGGCTTGAGCCACCACGCCCGGCCTATGTTTTCTTGAAATATTAGCTCCATGTCATACTAAACAGAAAAACTTAAATTCAATATAAAATAAAACTATCAAAATATAGAAACTACATCCTTTTAGATAAATCTTTACAGCAGATATGGAAGCAAATAACAGTTACTTGATGCATTGGGGAGTGAAATTTAGCTTTGATTCTTGACAAGACTTTATCGCACAATTTCTGATTATCTGTCATTCATCCTGGTAGTCAAACACCAGTCTGAAGTTAAATGCACTCCTCTCTTTGACAAGCCGTGTTCATTCCCCAGACGAATTTCTCTTTACCTTCTTTTCACCCAGTAAAATTCCTGCTCCCCACGCTGGACTTCCAAAGATTAAAAAAAGACCTTCTCATCAGAACAGGGTCAAACATAAAATACAATATAAATTATAGAGACCTGAGCATTTTCTTATATCCTTTTATCTTCATTATGATATTTGCATCATATTTTAGAGGGTGAGTCTAAATGCATATTTTCCATTTAGCAAAATATTTAGTATTCTCCAGAAAAAAATAGAGAAAATGCCCAAGGATAATCCTTAACATTTGTCAATTACCCTTGTACATTCGTTATCTAATTTAACCTGACCAACAACACTGAGAGACAGGTGCTGTAAGGAGGATGCCTACCCCATCCTCCAGGTGAGGATGGTTGCAATATATAGTCAGACAGGAGAAGGAATTAACAGCAGGATACAAGAAGCTGCTTGGGTGCATTGGACTGGGATGCATAGATTCTAAACTTGAGCTCGGGCCTTTGAATTGAGATGCAAGATGAAACATTATGTCAGCACACGAAGGGACCAGAATTCCAAGTTCCAATCCCAAAGGTACTATAAGCTGGATGAGAAACAAAGACAACTGAAAGGACACAGAACGCTAAACTAGGGGAAAGGTGGTCCTCTGGGAACTGTCCAAGTGTCCAAGCAAGAGGCAGTGGGTGGGGGAGGGAATACTGAGGGTCTGTCTTTCTGGCAGCCATTTCTATACCAAGGCAGAGAAATTAGAAAACAACTAATGGCTGTTAATCCCCAGCCCCTTGGAGGCAAGGTGGACAGATCATGAGGATCAGGAGATGAGACCAACCCTGCCAACATGGATGAAACCCTGTCTCTACTAATTCCAAAAAAAAAAAAAAAATGTAGCTGGTTGGTGGTGCCATGCCTTGTATTCCCTGCACTTGGAGCTGAGCAGAGGAATTGCATGAACCCCGGAAGGCCAAGGTCAGTGAGCTGAGATCCGCACCATATCACTCCAGCCTGGGCAACAGCAAGACTTCTGTCTAAATAAAAACAAAAAGAAAAGAAACACGAATGACTGTAGTTTGAGAAGGTAAAACTACAGAAAAGTCAAAAGTAGAAGTACGATACAGAGGGGCTAATGGATGGTAGAAGGGGCCCCAAAGAGAGCTTTAATCCCACCAGTTACTCTGAGTTGAGGCCGGCAGTGGTAAATCACTGCAAGGTGCCTTGTGCTTGAACACCCTAAGTAGGCCAGATCCAGTGTAACAAGGTTAATCCTGAGAGACCCAACATCCAACACCTCAGTTGCCCATAATTTCCTGGAAAAAAGAAGCAGATTAAAAGACTCCAGAGAAAACTGATACCAAGAACGTTCCAGTTACCAAATATCAACAACACTGTGATGCCTTCGCACAAGGGCTGAACCACAGTCAGCTGATTCCAAGCCCAAGCCATTTCACCACTTGAGCCCACACTAAAAATATTATGCAGGGCCAACTCGTGGCTCAGCCGCCTGTAAATCCCACACTTTGGGGCCGAGCAGCGGATCACCTGAGGTCAGGATTTCAAACAACCCTGCCAGGGGGTGCTGAAACCCCTCTCAACTAAAAATGCAAATTGAGCCGAGTGGGTGAGATGGTGCGCCTGTTAGTCCAGGCCTCAGGAGCTAAGCAGAAATTGCTTGAACTCGGGAGCAGAGGATGCAGTGAGCCAAGAATCGCGCCCAGTTGCCACTCCAGCCTAGTGGACTGACGAGCAAATCCATCAAAAAAAAAAAAGAAATATTAATGTTTAGAAATCCAGTTTTTATTACTAAACTTAACAAAATGGAGAATTATGCATTGATGCTTAGATTCCAGTATCTGAGCAAAATTCCCTCCTTACTGTCTTCAACACCAAACCAAGTAAGGGTTGAATCAAAGATCATGTTGAGTAAAGCATTTTGGTAAACTCACCAATAAAGTGATTATTCCAAGGTGAGCATCTTCCCTCCAGGAGGACCATCCCCGAAAGCCTGAAGGGGGGGGTTCACACTTCGTCCATCTATAGGGAGCAACCTGGTTGAAATCCTGGCCTGGTACCCCTTCCAGAGCAAAAATCCGTGAGCCAGTGGCATCTGCCGAATCCTGGAAACCAGGAATGAAATGTAACAGAAGCTCCTTTCAGAAAAAATTCATCTTAAAACCATCCTTCAATTAAAATGAAACACAGATGGTATATCCATCACCAGGACCAGGGAATCGAGGCATAAGGGATACGCCGGGTGTCCATAAAAACTGTACACACCCCACTTTTCACAGCGTTAACACAAAAATGAAGTCACTTGATAAACTCACCTTGAGTGACACTTTGATGAACAGTAAAAGAGAACATTGAGTTTTCTTTCAGACAAAATCCTCCCATAGCCACACAACATTAAAGAGTTTGCTTAAATTTGTCATAAAATGGTGACTGCAACCCCCCCCAACACAGCACTTGAGTTATCTGCCAAAAATAACCAAATGCGTCCGCACCCCATCCCAACCACTCCTCACCCCACACACACACCACACCACACAATCACACAACAATCCACCTCCCAACTGGTTCGAGGCCTCCCCCTGCCCTCCTCATTTTGGTAAAAAAAAAAAAAAAAAAAAAAACCCACAGGGAATAGGATGTCATAGAAAGCCCCATCAACCTCAACCTCAACCCCAACCCCAACCCCAACCCCAGCTGCCCTCCTGTGCCTTCCTCCTCACAGCCCAATGCTTCAGCTACTAGGAGCTACCCCAACCCAGTTCTTTCTCAGCTCCCAAGCTTTGTCTCCTTCTCCACCTTGGAAATGTGTTCCTAGCCCACATATTACCTGTTCCCAGAGACCCCTGACCACTTGCCAAAATCCCAACAGCTGCCCATTCTCCCCAGTGCTCCTGGAGAAGATCACAGTAGACTCTGCAGAGCCGCTCCCCTAGCACGGAGCTCCTGGCATACAGCAGGGGCTCAGTAAAGCTTTGCTACGTGACTAAATTCATGAGGAAATGAAAGTGTAAGGAGCTAGTAACCCCCACAAGTGAATTCAGAGCCCACAGGTCACTCGGCACTCCCATCTCACTTCGTCTGAGTCAGACTCTGCTAATTCTGTCCCGTTCTGCAGCCTAAGGGAGTCTCAGAGAATGACAGGTTTGTCGAGAGGAAAAAAACAAAAGCATTTAACGAGATAGAAGGCCAGAAAATTCGGAAAGGTTTATCAAGGTAAGATAATATGATCTAGACAAGAAAAGGCTGAGAGATGTTTTCATAAGAGTAAAGGAAACTAGAGATCCTGCTCCTAAAACTAGACCAGGACCGCCGGGATTTAAGCTGTCATTTGAGCAGTGAAAGAAACACTTAGGACCGGGGTCCCCCTGCTGGTAGAGCTGGAAGCTGCCTCAGACTCCACCTCTCCCTCCTCTCCCGATGGGGGCGTTCCTCCTGAGCCCAGGAGGCTCCCAAGCAGCCTTTCCAGGCTCTTCCCTTGCCAGAGTGAGTTCAAGGCTGTGGGGAGCCAGGGTGCAAGAGCAATGTAACAAAGTCGCTCTTCCAAACATGTTCAGGGACTCCATTGTTTAGAAAGCCAGATAGACAAAAATGGCCATGGATACGTGGAAGAGACCTATAGTGCCTGCAGGCCCCTTAAAAGGGAGCCAATGCATCCATCTGGTTAACCAGGACACATGTTCCCAGTCTTCTAAAAATCCCCAAAGACTGGGCAGCAAATGCCCCTTAGGTTGCATGGAAAGTGTGGGCAGGGCGGCAGTCAATGGCAACAGAGAAGGATGGGCAGTGCGGGGTTGTCAGCCGGCCTGAGGCACCCTAATACTGGCCCATATCCCACCCCCAGCTTTGTGGTCCCGGGCACCTGCTGACTTGAGCCTCACATAAAGCACCACACATACCAGGTCTCAGCCAGCACTGCTTCCCTATGCCTCTCCCTCTTCCCCACCGGTGACAATGGACCCTGCCATTTGAAAGAGCTTGAGTTTAAAACAAAACACTCTCTTTGTACGCTTGCTTTTAAAGAGAAAATTGTAAAAATAAATAAGTAAAAATAAACAAAAATAAAGAGAAAATTGTAATATGTAGATTTTAAATTTGGGCCAAATTATGCATCTTAATGTAACTGATCGTTCCTTAAAACCTTAAGGGGCCAATAATTTGGGAAGCAAAGCATTTAGGAGACAAGGAATCTGGCTGGGATCTTATCTAAGGCCGCACGGTTTGTCACCTCACACCAGACTCATCCAGTCCAATTTCTCAATTCCACATCTCCAGCTTGACGACCCTCACTGTAACCTCTGAAATCGCTTCCTCTAGTTTTCAAATGGCAGGGGCCACACCTACCCGTGGAATCTGCTCACATTTCTCACTTGACTGGCCACTGACACACCAGGTCCATGGATGGACACAACCCCACATATAGGTCACAGCATCACTCTTAACAGTTTGTAACTCAGAATTATCTTACTTGACTGAGGTGTTCTGTGGCACTTCAAAGGTTACCAGGCGGCCACCCGCAGAGCTGTTAGAACTGGCATTCCCACAGGCAATATCTGGGATCACCTGGGAAGGAAAAAAAACTGACATGTGATTGGGGTTGTTTATAGTATAACATAATATGATAAAGCACAATTCCATGCTGAATTTCCTTCATCCCTTTTGATGATGCAGGGGTAGGGCTAGAGAGGAGATGAAGAAGTGAAGCCTTACAAACTCAAAAGAAAATGAAATCTCTGTCATTCGATGTTCTGAAATGCAACAGCTTCCCTGAGAGCAATCTACAAATTCCTGGGATTGTTAAAACTGATCAATAGGATATTGCAAGACAGGAAGCAGATGTCACTCCCTGCTCTTTTTCCATTCATTTAACAAGCAGTCATTGACCCTTGCACGATGCCTAACCTGATGGTAACCAGGAGGCCAACTTTAAGGACTAACTTACAAACAGCAGGTAAAAGCCTAATGAGTAGGCAAGTCAGCCTTCAACTTGCAAAGGGCATGTAGTATCAGGCCTGATGACTCCTCTCTGTGCTGGTGGGTCCAGGAGCACATGCTGAGGCTGGGGAGCTTGAACGCTGCCTTTCTTTTTCCTTGTAGGCTATACCTTCACTTTTAAATTATTTCCCAAAAGTATTATATGGATGTGTATTTTTTAAAAGAGAAGTCCAACTGGTGGGGGGAGGACTGTGCTCATCAAAAAGCATATTCCAAAACCTTGAGCTATGTCCAGTGAGATACTCCTGGCCAGTTTATGCACTTATTCCTCATGCCACAGTTACTGTCCTCCCCCATGTCAATGAAAATGAAGCAATATTAAAAGTATTCATCATCACAGAATTAATTGAGAACAATACAGAAACCCTCAGCAATTTCACTCCACAGCGCACACTTAGATATTATTTTCCAGAATGCCCTACAGTGAAATTCTATGGATAAAGCCCACCACTGATATTCAAAGATGTGAGTATAACTTGTTAAATTTGTATAACAGATGGCTGTTACCCAAGTCTCTAAGGCTCCAAATAACTTTATGCTTCCAAAGCATCATTACTTCATGGAAAGGGGGTAATAATATGCCTCCTGGTTTCCATCAGGTTAGGCATACATATTAACATGTCTTCCTCTGGCACTTTAAACCTGCCTCATGAACAGCCTAAGAAATAACCCATGATATAGGAAGACGAGGCATTTCTTTCTTGCTTCTTTTTTTTTTTTTTTTTTTTTTTTTTTTCGCACGGAGCTCTCGCTCTGTCGCCCCAGCGCTGGAGTGCAGTGCGCCGCACATCACAGCTGCACTCGCAACTCCCCCCTGGCTATTATGCATTCTCTGTCTCAGCCTCCGAGTAGACTGCGGATATAACAGGCAGCGCGCGCGAGCGCGGCGCACGCGGGCGGGGCCTAGTTTTTGTATTCCTTAGCTAAGACGGGTTTTCAGCCGTGCTTTACCAGCGATGGGGTCTCGATCTCCGATCTCCGTGATCCGCTCCTGCCGGCTCCCAGACCAGTGCCTGGGATTCAGCAGTGCGAGCAGCCGCGGGGCGGCTCGGGTGGGGCGCGGGCGGCATGGTGGTTAATTGAGACGGAGGCTGCGCTCTGCACCCAAAACTGGAGGCAGTGCCTGCAACTCGTCCGCCCACTGCAAGCTCCGCCTCCCGTGTCAACGGCCCATTCTCCTGCCTCAGCCCCGTATAGCTGGAGCTACAGCGCCGCCACGTGCCCCGGCTAGCCTTCGATTCTTAGTAAGACAGGCGTTTCACCGCCTGTTAGCCAGGATGGTCCGATCTCCTGACCTCGTGACCGCCCGTCTCGCCTCCCCCGAAGGTGGCTGGATTACAGCTTGAGCCACCGCGCCAGCAGGAAGACGAGGCGTTTCTTAACACTTACCGAACTGTAAAATAACATCACTTTTACAACTAAATAGATCGACAATGCTGCTGGGGAAAAATTTTTCTTAAAGCACTTCTTTGAAAACTTAACACAAACTATTCCACATTCAAAACTGAATCAGCCAGCAAAGAACATTAACATCAAAATCAAACATTTTAAAATCTGAAATCAAACAATCACCAGTTGTAGGTTAACTAAAAACCATTGGCCCTCGCAGTCTGAATGTGCCCTCATAAGCTGGCGGTAAGCCAAAAAAAAAATAAAAAGGGTCAACCGGTAAGAATAACTGACCAAGAAAATAAAAGGAAAACTACTATCTCGTTTTAAGACACTACAGGAAATTTCTAGCCACACTTCTACTAATCACATGCTACAAAAATCTCTCGGTTTTTGTTTTTCACTTTAACAACTGGGGCGGAAACCTGTGAAAATAAACTACGACAGGTTTATATGGATGTCATACATATAAAGTATAAGATATAGAATGGAATTACACACCCCAATGTCACTTCAAACTCATGGTTTGGATTTGTTCCCCAACTCTTCTAGCCAGCAAATTTATTTTATGTCAACTTCTAGGAGTCTACTGAAAAGACTTTTGAAGAGCTTGAAGATAAAACAGCCAAACTCAAACTCAGATAGGAGAAGTTCCAACAAATAGACTTTGCTGTTGCCAAAATAAATAAAACTTGGAAGTTTCTTTGTCAAATGCATTCTAAAAATATGTCAAAATCATTGACAGCTTCTTTTTTCTAAACCCCAGTGAAATAGGTACTAAGGTACCAAAAATAGAACCTAAATAACAACAGAAAGAAAAAATAGTTGAGCGTTGTGGTCTGCCGTGGTCTGAATGTTTGCGCCCCTCTAAATTCATGAGTGAAATCCTAACCTCCATGATGATGGTATTAAGATGTGGGGCCTTTGAGAGGTGGTCAGGTTAGGAGGGCACAGGGCTGGCAAATGAGATCAGTGCCCTTGTAAAAGACCTGAAAGAGCTCCAAAGCGCCTTCCACCATATGAGATTACAGTGAGAAGATGCGGGCTGTGAAGAAGCAGGCCCTCATCAGATTCTGAATCTGCCTTGATCGTGGACTTCCTAGTCTCCAAAGCTGTGAGAAATACATGTCTGTGACATGGTTTGGATATGTGTCTTCATATCTCAAATGTGATCTCCAATGTGGGAGGTGGGGTCTGGTAGGAGATGTTTGGGCCATGGGGGCAGATTCCTCATGAAAGACAGCACCATCCCCTTGGTGATAAGTGAGTTCATGTGAGATTGGATTGTTTTCTGGGACGTCTCCCTTCTCTCTCTCGCCCTCACTCTCACCACATGACACATTGGCTCCCCTTTGCCTTCCGCCATGATTGTAAGCTTCCAGAGGCTCACCAGAAGCAGATGCTAGTGCCATGCTTTATGTATAGCCTAAAGAACAATGAGCCAATAAATCCCTTTCCTCTATAAATTGCCCAGCCTCATGTATTTCTTCATAGCCACACAAGAATGGACCAATACCGTGTGTTGGTTATAAGCAACCCAGTTTGTGGCGTTTTTGTGATAGCAGCCTTAAGAGACTAAGACACACTCCCAGGAAGGAAAATAAGGTCAGCAATGGAGGATCCTATGACATGTTCCTTTACATGACTACACTGAGCTGTCTGCCCCAAAACCTAAGGTTATCTCACCGAAATACATGTGGATACCATTCCAAAAAATAATTTGATTCATTTTTTTGTTTACTCTTTTTATACGTACAAAACCATCGCACACACAAATGCAGACAGGAATAAGTTTAGGGACATATTTTGCTCGTGATTTAACTTAAAATGTTTTCAATTTTCATTGCTGATACTAGAATCACTGGAATCACTTTAACATTTCTGGTTTCTAATGTAAAAATGTACATGATAGAACATTCTCACCTCCACTTGATCCCATTTCATTTCTACAACTTTCTGCCCTGTTTTCGGCTGCCAGGTAGGCAATGTCACGGTTGCCTGAGAGTGCGGCAGGATTTTGTCAGGCTCCTGAGTAGCGGGGACAGGCTGAAGCTGTCTGGGTGCCATGGATTCGGTCCAGCCAGTGGCTGGGAGACTGGGAAGTGCCTGTTCACAGTTGGGACCTTCATAGCCTTCATTGCAAATGCAGAGGTAGCCATCGCTGCTGCTGCTGCTGCTGCTGCTGCTGCTGCTGCTGCTGCTACAGTTGCCATGGTGACAAGGGTTGCTGGCACAAGGATCTGCAACAAGCTGAAATGAGACCATAAATGGGTCAATTATTCCCTCATAAGAAAAGTGGTGCCATCGCTGGGAAATTAGCTCTGTGTCTCAGAGCGACTGCTCTAATGGAAACGCTGTTCCTGTGGAATATACGTCTTAACTACTTGTGCTGTTGCAGGGGGATGTTCACCAAGGTCATCCCAACATTAACCTTACCACAGATAAGAGGCACCCAGCAAGAAAATACAAAGCGGAGAGCAGCCTCCTCGAAACCCAGAACACCCAATAATGTTGATTTCAGGAACCAATTATTTAGAGGAATTTTCTAGGGCAAAAATAGTTAAAACTCATTAGGAAGATACCAACTTTGACATTTTCAGCTGCGAAATGATATTAGGAATCTAAATTGGAATCTCCTTTTCCACATTCTGTACCTTTGCAAGCTTTCCTCATGAGAAAAGACTGCCCACTTTATCTGCCCTGCAGATGCGCTTACCTGTATCTCTCAGTTTCCTAACTGGTCAACACTACTTTTTAAGGTGATACCGTACTATTTAATTAAAGACTTCCAAAATGATCGGTTTGCATGACAGTTGCTGGCTAGAAGAGACTGTGGTGGGGACTTAAGCAGAATTTTATGAAATTTTTTATCTCATTATTTTGGAGGGTGATTACAGAGAAACGTGACCCCATCCCTCGCCAGATATGGAAGATGAGAACTCAGTTATATGTGTTTAAATTATGTTCGAGGTCTGGGGAAAGTGTTTATCTGAGAGTCCTTCGCTATTGACCTCTGAATGGCCATTTGTTGGTAGTCAGAGACACGCTACAAAACGATGTGAAAAAACCACCTGCTCCTCTTGAGATAGCGCAAGGGTTCAGTCATGTTCTCAGCACCGATTCAATTATGATTTGGTTCTGTGATAAAAAGAAAATCAGATCTCTAGCTGATATACCCCTGGCTGCTCAGGGCTGACTGCAAAATAGAATTCTGTACAGAATAAATGACAGAGAAATGGGACCCTCACTCTCCTGTTAAAATGAGTTCACACACTTCAACCTACATGGAGAGAATTCTGCAGGGCAAATCGGCTACTCGTTCTGCTAATCATTCCCATCAAGCAACTTCCAACAGACTCCTTAAGGAATATTAAGGGATTTGGGCTTGAATCCAATGAAGCTTCAAAAATACCACATTAATTCTATGCTCTCACTTGGCAATTCCTTCACAGAAGCTCAGATCAGAGTCAATGGATTTGTGTCTGAAGAGAATATTTCAACTGTCAATAATTAATTTACAGTATTTACAATCTATCAACTCAAAGTAAAATCCAAACTCCTTCTTCGGCAGACAAAGCTCTTTTTGGTCAGGCCCCTTCCTCTCCTCCCACAAACCTTCCTCCTCCCTTGTAGCCTCCCGTCCTCACCTTGTCTCTCTCCCTGGACTATACCAAGTTGATTGCCACCTCAGGCCCTTTGCACCTGCTGGACCCCCTGCCTGGAACACTTTTTCTCCAGACGTTGCATGGCTCTCTTCCTCATTTCATTCCATCCTCTACTCAAATGCTCCTTCTAGGAGAAGCCTTCCCTCACTGTGAAATCTAAAGTAGTCTCTTCTTTACCCCTCTCCTACAAAAATGTGAGCTGCATGAATTCAGGGATTTTATCTACTGTGTTCACTGCTCTATTCCCAGCCTGTCCAGGAACATAGGCTGTATGATGGGACTTTTTAAAAAATTGTTGGAAAAAGTAGACACGATAGATTGATCAACATTTGGAAGGCAACACGTGAAAAGGGAGGGATGTGAACTTCTTGTTTAGTCACGATGTTGTTATCTTGTTTCTGATTTATTTTTAGGAAGGCCTTGTGGAATGGCTGTCACCTCAAGAATTACGCAACCAGAAGAATTTTATTCACTTGAACAAAGGAGACATTCAAAGCCGTGTTTCTGATATCAACTTTTAAAACATCTGAGGTTGATCTAGTCACAAATAAGAATTTCAATACATGCATTATAAAGGCAGAAATACATTTAAACCACAAGGGATCAATGCAAAACTTAATTCTGAAAGTCCAAACCTGCATTGTGCAGCTTAGAGAAAGAGATTACTAAGGCAAGGACCACCTATCTGGTGGCCTGAGAGGCCTCACAGCTTCAGCTCCATTGCCACAGCCCACAGCTGACAACCACCAGTCCTCAGAGAGGCAGGGGCCTCCTCAGAAGGGGAGTCAAGCACAGCAGAAGTCCACATTCCTTCAGAGAAATCAGTCAAGCACATGTACACACCCTTCCCACGGTAACAAGGCACGACACCTACCCTCCCCAAGAGAGACGTTTAGAGTTTTCAAAGAACATAGAGTAGCTTCTCTTCACACCAACGCTGAAATGGAGAAGGATTTTCTGAACCCATATCACTTCGAGAAAAAGAAGAGCAGAGGGCCGGATGCGGTGGCTTGCGCCTGTAATCCCAGCACTTTCAGAGGCCAAGGCAAGCAGATCAGGTGAGGAGTTCAAGACCAGCCCGGCCAACATGGCAAAGCCTCATCTCTACTCAAAATACAAAACTTAGCCGGGCGTGGTGGTGGGCACCTGTAATCCTAGCTACTAGAAAGGCTAAGGCGGGAGAATCACTTGAACCTGGGAAGCGGAGGTTGCAGTAAGCCAAGATTGTACCACTGCCCTCCAGCCTGGGCAACAGAACAAGACTTCAAAAAAAAAAAAAAGGCAGAGGAGTTGAATGACCTCTCACAGCTACCATACTAGCAGACCATGTCTTCTGATTTTCAGCCAAATTTCTTTCCATAACATAGCACCACAACTTTGATATCATCTTATTATCATGCCAAAAAAAATATTACTGTAGAGAAGGCAGAAGGTAAGGGTTATATTATTGTAAGCAACAGAAAACAAGTAGGTATTAAATGTAGGCCAATTAAGACTGCCTGAATGCTTTTTTTAGAAAAATGTATGATAATGGTAATACTCAATGAACACTGATTGAGGACTTACTATGACAAGAACTGTACCAGGTCTGGGTATAAAATGCTGTTTAAAAAATTTAAAAAAAAAAAAACCCTAAATCTGTCCCTAGGGAGTTTACATCTAGTAACCTAGTACAAGCACTAAAAGTTTACAACTAGTAACCTAGTACAAGCACTAAAAGCACCGAGTCCTACCTGCTATTCACAATGCTTATGTGTGCGCCTGCCATTCTGTTAGGCATTTTACATTTCTTACTTTGGTTCATCCTTACTACAAATCTTTTGGTAAGTACATTTGTATATTTATTATTCTAATTTTATAGTTGAGGTTTAGCAATGTTACGCAAATGACTTTTACCCAGAATAAAAGCCAAAGTATTCACTAATTTTTTTTTTTTTTTTTTTTTGAGATGGAGTTTCACTCTTGTTGCCCAGGCTGGTTGAGATGGAGTTTCACTCTTGTTGCCCAGGCTGGAGTGCAATAGTGCCATCTTGGCTCACTGCAACCTCTGCCTCCCAGGTTCAAGCAATTCACCTGCCTCAGCCTCCCAAGTAACTGGGATTACAGGCACCCACCACCACACCCGCCTAATTTTTGTATTTTTATTAGAGATGAGGTTTCACCATGTTGAACAAGTTCGTCTCAAACTCCTCACCTCAGGTGATCCACCTGCCTCGGCCTCCCAAAGTGCTGGGATTATAAACGTGAGCCACCATGCCCAGCCTGTATGCACCAAGTTTTACAAGCCCTCTGTGATGTGCCTGCCCCATTCTCCCTGACCTCACCTCCCGCCCCTGACCTCCCTCACTGGCTCCACACACACTGGCTTGCTCACTGCTCCTCGTATGCTCCAGGCACTCTCCTGTCCCAGGACCTTTGCACCGGTTGTCCCCTCTGCCTGGAATGCCCTGGCTTCTCAAGACTGTTCCTGAGCCACCTTTGAGTCTTTGCTCCAATGCCATCCTCTGACGAGGACCCTATTTAACAGAGCAAGGTCTCCATCCTCTGACAATGTCAACTCCTCTTTTTTTTTTTTCAATTTTTATTTTAGATTCACTGGGTACATGTGCTGGTTTGCTGCCTGGGTATATTGTGTGATGCTGGTGTTTGACTCCCTTCTTTGCTTTATTTTTTCTAAAATATCCATCATCTTCTCACATAAATTTTAAATTATTTAATACATTCGTTTTTTTTCTTCCACCACTAGAATGTAGGCTTTTTGAGGTCCGATTTCTGTTTTCAGTTTAATTTACTTATGTATCCACAGCCCTAGAACAGTGCCCAGCACATGGGAGCTGCTGGATAAACATTTACTAAATGAATGAATGAGCGAGTGAATGGATGTGAATGATGTTATATACAAGCAGCTGCCAGAGCCTGTGAGGTGTACTGCCTTGTTAAATGCAATCAGGATTCTCAAAGGCCCAGTCTCAGATCTTGAGAACATAAGTCAAAGGGGAGCCTGAAATGTCCCACTGTGGTGTTTTAAAGTAATTAAATAACTTTAAGTCTTCTTTAAAAGGAGTAAAAGCTCTGTCAACCTGAGAGGTAAGACAGAACCAGCACAACCTAGCCGCAGCCTTGATGAGGGCAGGAAGAGTACAGACCCACTTCACAAGTGGCTTTCAACACAGTGAGCCAAGCCATCTTTCTCTGGTCCTCAGGGACCATCTCTGTGAGCTACTCTGTGAAGCTATTCACCCCAGTGGGAAGTGTCAGAGGTGCTGGTTGATGGAGCTGGGTGGCAAAGGGCAGGTCCCGTGGCAATGCTCAATTTGCTACGTCCAGGAGTCAGTCCCATCAGGTAAAGGGATAAAGAGCCAGAAAGAAAATATGATGAGAATCAATAATACCCTAAGTGCTGTAGTCTGAGCTTCATAGATGAGAGGAATGCACAAATAGCATGTGGGCTGAAGAATGAATGACTGACACGGAAGGCCAGGAGAAACACTCTTAGTGAAGAACAGACGACAAAAGCTAAAAATTAAACAGTCAGTAAAATAAATTTCTACAGGGATTCAAAGCAGTGGATAATGTGATGGAGTG